GCCCTCGCCCCCTCGCCCCAGAAAGGGAGGGCGTGCCAGAAAGGCCTCCAGGTGCAGGTAGGCTACAGTTTGGGTACTGGGGAGGGGTGGGGGCCAAAGACCCTTACGCGGTAGTAGTCGGTGCTGTAGATATCCCTGCTCATGCCGAAATCGCCTATCTTCACCACTAGCCCCTGCCCCACCAGACAGTTGCGCGTGGCCAGGTCCCGATGAACAAAGTGCAGGCCGGCCAGGTACACCATGCCAGCGGCCACCTGGCTAGCCACGGCCAGCAGCTGCCCCAGTCCCAATGGGCCAGGAGCCACATCCTCCTTGCTGGCCAGCAGCTTGGCATCAGGTCCGTGGGACCTGCGAGAGAGGGTGGGGGTGGGGGTGGGGAGCATGAGGTAGAGGAAGGGGCTGTGGGGTCTGGCTATGGAGCAAAGGAGGAAGAGGGAAGCCCATGATCTCCACAGCAAGGCCCTCACAAGCCTTAAACTCCAGGTGCAGCATCCCCTAAACTCCAAGTTCAGGTCCCCTGAACAAGTGCAGCATCCCCTGAACTCCAAGTTCAAGTCCCCTGAACTTCAAGTGCAGCGTCCCAAAAATCCAAGTTCAGGTCCCCTGAACTCCAAGTGCAGCACCCAGATACCCATTGCCCCTCTCTACACTTTTGGCCAATTGGGAACTCAGGCACAGCTCACCCTAAGCTGAGCTCATACCATCCCAATGATCCTGGCCCTGCCTCAGTGAAGGGTCTGGCCTCTCCCTCACCCCACACCCTCCATAAGCTCCCCTCAATCCACAGGGTAAATGCAGACTTAGAGTCTCTTTCAGCTGAATTATGCAGCCCTGACTCCCCCAACAGATGTTTGGGGACTAACTCACAACTATTAAGGGACAACCGCACAAAGGCTTTGTCCCTAGCCCTTCACCCCAGACTCTGCGCCTGAACCCCGGGAGTCCCTCTTGACCCTCTTCTCTCTCCCACCCTCACCCTCAATATCCAGCCAGACCTGTGGGGCCTGCCTGCCTTCTAAAGGTTCCCAGATTGATGTTCTTGCCCCGCTCCCCCAGCCAGCCCACCAGATGAAGCCCTGGGCTTTCCCCTCATTCCCCAAATAGTCCTCCTCATTTGAAATGGACACATTCCGGAATTTATGGAAATGATCAGTAACCTAAATAAACCTGCCAGAGGTGTTCGGTCCCAAAGCAAAGGCACGAATTCTTAACATGTAAGAGCCCACGTTTAGGAACTGGCTTAATGTAAATCGCCACATCTGTGTGTGTTTGGGGTCTATGAAAGTGTGTCTACACAATATCCCTCTACACTGATGTATAAGCACATAAAAAATAAACAACAAAAACTCAAACTCACTATCATTGTCACGCTGATTCTGACCCATAGTGACCCTATAGAACAGAATAGTACTGGCCCGGTGGGTTTCCGAGGTTGTAACTCTTTTTTTTTTTTTTAACCATTTTATTAGGGGCTCATACAACTCTTATCACAATCCATACGCAGGTTGTAACTCTTTATAGGAGCAGGCAGCCTCCTCTGTCTCCCTCAGAGCCAGTAGCTGGTAGCAGTTCACAGCCCACCATGTAACCCACTAGGCCTTAACAACAACGAAATGTAGTACATCTCAAGAGGAGCCCTGGTAGTGGAGTGGCTATGTGTTGGGCTGCTAACTGCATGGTCAGCAGTTCAAAACCACCAGCCACCACTCCTCGGGAGAAAGACAGGCTTTCCACCCCCTAAAGAGTTATGCTCTTAGATACCCACCGGCTGGGAAACAAACGCACAGGGTCAGGTCCCCTGGGATCGCGCTGGGTCAGAATCGAGTGGATGGTGTGAGAGGGTCGTGCGTGAGTGAGTAGTGCCCCTCATACCGTGCCTGCAGCCTGTTCACGGCTCTCCCACTGCCGGTCCTGTGTGCCAGCCACCCACCAATCATCAAGCCCACCGCCCTAACAGCTCAGTTCCTCCTCACTGCCGCCCCCACAGCCTCTGTACCACTGCCACTGCCCACCACCCTACAGCTCCTTGGGGACAGGAACTGCATCTCCAGCCCTGCACCTGCTCGGTAGCCCTGTGCTCAGGAGGGACCAGGAGATTCCTCAGCCAAGTTAGCAGAATGGGAGCAGGGATGGCATCCTTGGGCCCAGGGTCCAGGTCAGGGGTCCGTCCCTCATACCTGAGGAAGCGGTTGAGGTCCCCGTGCCGCATGTATTCAAAGACCATGAGCAGCGGGCGGCCCTCGGTGCAGACCCCGAAGAAGCGCACGATGTGCTGGTGCTGCAGCACGGTGAGCAGCTCCGCCTCGCGCTGGAAGTCCTGCCGGGCGCTCTCTGACACCTCCTTCAGCGCCTGTGCAGCAGGCCAGGGCACCGCTGGGTGGGCCAGCCCGAAGGCCCCCACCTCCTGGGTGGCCCACCGGACCCTCAGCCCTGGATGAGGGCACCAGTTCTCCCAGCCCGGCAGTACCCAGAAGCTGGGGAGCCTCACCTTCACAGCCACAAGCATCTTGTCCTGTTCCGGCAGCAGGTTGTGGCACTCGGCCAGGAAGACTTTCCCAAAGGCCCCCTCGCCCAGCTCCCACTTGAGCACAATGTCACGCCGTTTGATGTGATGGACGCCTGAGGGGAGCACAGGTTCAGATGGAGCCCTAGAATTAGGAGGGATGGGGAGGGGCGAGGGCAGGGCTGGGGGGGGGGCACGTGCTGCAGTCTGGCATCCAGCCCACGGAATGGAAGGGGATGAAATTCAGCCTCCAACTCCTTCCCTGAGCCCCATGCCCTGGTCGTGGCTGCATCTGCCCAGGGAGGACACAGTACTGGTTAGCTCGCCATGGCTCAAAGACAGGCAGCCTCCACCCGATAAGGGTGTGCTGGGGCAGGTGAGGAGCCAGGAGGGGATTATCCAAGCCCTGGGTGGGTCGAAGCTATGGCCCAGGGCTTCTCCACGCATGCTCGCATGTGGGCCTCCCCCACCCTCCACCCAACATGGCCCCTCACAGGCATCACTGAAGTATTGTGGGTTCTCGATGATGTGGCCTTGAAGCCCGGAGCCTTTGCCCTCAGTGGGGGACAGGGAGCTGCCACCTAGTGTCATGAAATGCAGGGACATGGCCAGCCCATCATCCGGAGCCAGCACAGCAGGGCCTGAAGAGGAGACACAGCCACACTCAGGGGTGCAGCCCAGGCACACACCCTGGACCCCATCCACCCTGGCAGGTGACCCTGCTGCCTTGTAGTTTACAAAGGGAGAACGGAGCAGCTCGGAAGCCAGGCAGCAGCCAGGGGGGAGAGAAGACACCACAGCCTCTCTCCGCCTGGCTCGTGTCCAACCCCAGGCCCCACGGGCATGAAAGAACCCCCCACCCCCCGCAGAGCCCAGACCTCCCAGACTCACTTAGTGTTTGACTACAATCCAGCCACCAATTAGCAGCTGCTGCCTCCGACACTACTGCAGCACCAGCACACACTCACACTCACGCACTCACTCACACAAGCCCCACAGCCAGGCCTGGTGTAGACCCCCACATGCCCGCACCCTCTGGAACACCGCCTGTGCACGGTCCCCTCCCATAGAGAGGGCAGAGCCAGGCAGAGTCAGGAAGAAACAAAGCTGGTAGGACAGACAGACAGCCACTCCACAGCCCTCCCCACTCACGGTTGATCCCAAACTTGTTCCTCCGGCCGCATTTGTTGAGCACGAGGAGCATCGTAGAAAGGAAGAGGCAGGCAAAGACAGCCAGGCCCACAGCCACGGAGACCTGGGGGAGGGGGGTAGATCCAGGGGGTCCCCTGCACTCCCAGAGCCCACCCCCAGCAACCTGTTTCTCCTGCCCTGCTCCCCAGGGCCTGGCCCAGGCTCCGAGGGGCAGCCGACAGCGCTCAGACCAGAAACGACATGCGGATGAGCCCAGCCTCCCGCACGCTGCACAGCCTCCACGTCCGAGCTCACCCCAAAAGGCGTCTCATCCTTCTTCTCCACTGGGTCTTTCGCTGTGCTGTTACTGTCTGCAGGGACAAAGGCTGGCTCCAGCCCTGGCCCCAGTTGAGCCTACAGGGTCAGGTGTACCCCTGGCCCCAGCCTTGGCTCTGGGGACAACACATCAGCGCCCTACCCCCACCCCCTGCCCAAGCTACTCACCAGCTGGCGAGAAGGACACTGCAGCAGGAGGAAGGAGAGAAAGTGGTCAGCTGTGGTCAGTTGGGGAGGGAGGCAGGTGTCCCTCACCCCTGGGACTCATCCTTCCTGGGGTGTGGGTGGGTTGGGGAGGGGGCAGCTCTGGGCCTCGAGGGAGGGGATGCACTGGCCCCTGCCCAGTGGGGCGCTGGATGCCCGGGGTGGCGCTTTCTTCAGCCAAAGCAGGGGGGGTGGGGGGTGGCAGGAGTCCTTGAGCTTAGACAAGGGGACAAAGAGGCCAGCCAGCACAGAGCCTGAGGACCCCAACTCTGGCTCCTTCAGACACCAGATGACACCTCCTGTCTGGGACCAGGCAGCCACCTTCTGGGGTGTCAGGGGAAGAGTGGGAAGTGGGCCAGGGCTCCCCAGCCACCTGGAGCGGTTCCCCGTGGTTTGGGTTGGCCCTCGCACCGGGGATGGGGTCCTCGGGGTTGAACTCGAAAGGGTTGTCCATGAAGGCGGCCATGACATAGGCAGCCGCCCGGCCCGAGGGGTTGGTGGCCAGCAGGGTGTAGTTGCCATTGTTGACGTGCGTGGGCTGGTTGAGGCGCAGGCAGCCATGCCGCACGGTCTCGTTGGCCGCGGGCTCCAGGAACTCGGTGAAGATGAAGTTGGTCTCGTTGAGCACGGAGCCGTTGAAGAGCCAGCGCAGGGAGGGCGCCGGCTGCCCGTCCACGGAGAAGGGGATGCACCAGTGGTGCAGCTCCACGGGTTTGTGCAGCTCCACGCTGGCCGGGACTGCGGGCGGGCGGGAGGGGGGCGGTAGAGAGAGAGAGAGAGCAGGAAACCTGAAGGTAACCGGCCAGGGGGCCGGACACATTCGCAAGGCCAAGTGGTTGGAAGCAATCAAACCAAAACAAAAAAAACCCAAAACGCACTGCCTTCCAGTCTCTGCCGACTCACAGCGAGCCTATCGCAGAGCTGCCCACATGGGTGTCTGAGGCTGCAGCTCTCTACAGGAGTGGGAAGCCCTGTCTTTCTCCCGGAAGTAAATCTTAACCAGGCACCAGGCCGCTCACAGTCAGACACAGGCGAAGTGGCCGGTCTGCAATGGGTAACAGGCCAGGAGAAATGGGCACCGGGGGCAGAAATGAACGTGAGGCTTTGATCAGGGGTGGAGAAGAATGAGGTGTCAGTAAGGTGGGTTAAGAGACTCAAGCAGACATCCAGTTTGAAAAACCTTGGGGAAAGGTGTGGGAGGAAGTCCCTTGACAGAAAGAAAGAAAACAAAAATGAGGAGCTGATGCCGGGGGCTTAAGTGGAGAGCAAATGTTTTGAGACTGATGAGGGCAATGAATGTACAAATGTGCTTTATACAATTGATGCATGTATGGATTGTGATAAGAGTTGTATGAGCCCCTAATAAGACGATTTAAAAAAAGAAAGAAAAAGATACATATACCGTATATACTCGAGTATAAGCCAACCCGAATATCAGCTGAGGCACCTAATTTTACCACAAAAACTGCATTAAAATGTGCTGAAAGGCTCAGCTTATACACGAATATATATCTGTGTATGTGTGTGTATGTATATATATACATATATATATGCATGTATGTATATATAGACATATTTGAGAGTTCTTTTTAAAAGTTCATGGGAAAATGGGATTTTTTTCACAACCTTTTAGAAGCTCCCTGGTACCTGCCATACTGCCTTCCGACTCCCATTGAGTGGGAGCCTCAGACATGCACAGGGGGGCAAGTCTACCCTGTGCTGCAGGGTGGCTGCGGGTCGGCTGCGGGTCACGTTCAACATCGACTCGATGGCAGAGAGAACCTTGGCCTTATATAGTGGAACACCACTCATGGGGGATGGCATGAACTACTGCTACTCCCGGCACCAGGGGCAGATCTTAAAAACAGAATACTGAGCATTGGCTTCGGTAGCACAAATGGTAAACTTGTGATCAATACAGAGAAGATCTGTATTCACAAGTTTCATGCCACCTGCCCGCGGATGGCATGAAAATCCATGGAGTGTCCCATATGAGAAATAAAATAAAATTTTAACTTAAAAAAATGTTAAAAGACAAACATGCTGTTGGGCGAAAGATCTGTACTATCACACTGCATGGCGTCGGTGCCGACTCACAGTGACCCTATAGTAAGGTGACCAGATTTTAACATTGGTAAAGTGGGACACCATTGATAAAACTCATATCCTGGCGAAACAGCCACATGGCAGCTGAAAACTGTATACCCTAGCTGGTCGTGCACTCTTTCCAAAAATCGGGACTTTTTTAAAACGCCGCAGGTCGCGGGAAAATTTGTTAAAAATCAGGACTGTCTCGCCAAGAGCAGGATGTCTGGTCACCTTACCCTATAGGGCAAGGTAGAGCCACCCCCGTGGGTTTCTGCGGCTTCCACTTTTTTACAGGGGTAGAAAGCCTCATCTTTCTCCTGAGGAGCTGGCTGGTGGTTTTGAACTGCTGACCTGGCGGTTAGCAGCCCAAGGTGTTCCCCACTCACTACACCATCAAGGCTCCTTGGGCAAAAACATCCTAGGCACGCAATACTACCTGCAGCACGTTGCCGTTGATCTAAGGCACAGAAACGGGTGAGAAGCGTGGCGATGGAGAAGCACAAATGTGGAGAATGACTTTGGAAAGAGGGAGAAAATCCTCCCAGGAGGCAGGCTGGGGACAGAGGGGGAGGGGGAGGGGAGAGGAGGTCTTCTGAGACACTGGTAAGGATAGTTAGTGTTGAAGGAGTGACATTTCCACGTGCATTCCATGTCACGGGAAGAGGAGATGAACAGGAGGGTTTACGTCATGCCATTTGCTGGCGGACCTAGAGAAATCAAGGTGGGAGCCTAAAGAGGTGGTTTTCCTTTTTCTTAAAAAAAAAAACAAACCACAAAGGCCAGGATGCAGGTCAAAGGGTGCAAGCAGCAGTGGCATGAAGCCCCAGGGGCAGCGAGGCGGCCTGGCAGCTGGAGTTCGTTCGGGGGGCCAAGGTAGCAAGGCTCGGGCAGGAGGACCAAAGGCAATCCATCTGCATCCCTCTGGCCTTGAGGAGCCCCCAGGACTTCCTCTGGAGGATCAGGTTTTCATGGGAATCTCAAACAGCTGGGAGGGAGCAGCTGTGGAGACACTCAGCTCACCCCTTTCCTGCAACCCAGCCCCCTAGCCTCACATCCTCTCTTCAGAGAAGGAGGGGTGCTGGGGCCGCCATGGGAGACTCACAGGAGACATTGACCTGGACGGGGACCTCCGCCCGGCCCACATCGTTCTCCGCCCAGCACGTCACGTTCTTCCGGTTGAGGTCACTGGTGACATTGATCAGGGTCAGCCACAGAGATGTCAGGTCCTCGGATATCTGGGTCGAGGAAGAGAGGAAGAAGACACGGAATGTTTCCGTGGCTTGGGGCTGGAGTCAGGGGGCTGGAGCAGATGTCTTTGGGAAACCCCTCCAGTTACAGAGGGAGGAGAGAAGAGGGTTGGTGCAGGGGGCCTAGGGGGACACAGGGAGGGGCGGGGGAGGGGGAGAAGACACACCTCCTCCTTCCGGGTGTATTCATATTCTGGGTTATTTGCTGAATGATCTGAAAAGTCTAGACCAGTGGTTCTCAACCTTCCTGATGCTGCGACCCTTTAATACAGTTCCTCGTGGTGTGGTGACCCCAACCATAAAATTATTTTTGTTGCTACTTCGTCACTGTAATTTTGCTACTGTTATGAAACGTCATGTAAATATCTAATATGCAGGATGTATTTTCCCTGTGACAAACTGAACATCATTAAAGCATACTGATTAATCAATCACAATAACAATATGTAATTCTATATTGTGAAATATTTATTTCTAATGACAAATAAATGAAATGTTGTCTTGATGCATGGTGTGGCATGGGGAACAGTCTTCACGCTGGGTACTCATAGGTGGGTGTATCTGCATGTGGGCGGACCCGCCTGCAGATGGATAGAGGAGTTAGCGTTCCTAAGACCATCGGAAATATGTATTTTTCAATGGTCTTGGGCGACCCCTGTGAAAGGGTCGTTTGACTCCCAAAGGGGTCGAGACCTACAGGTTGAGAACCGCTGCTCTACAGCATGACCAGGAACCTCTAAACAGGCACAAAGTACCCCAAATCCAAACCACCCGTCTGAGCAGCTAAGTAGACATGACAAACCCAGAGGCCCCAATGCACACACAGCTCATCGGAGAGCCAACTAGGGCCTTGCTGCCTCTCTTTCTATCCTTGATTGCATGCCGTCCTAGCAAACTAAGTTTCCCCGGGAGAAGATCAGAAACAGGGGTGGTTCTGATCCAGGCTACAGGGACCAGTGCAGCGGCAGCACAGCCCCCTGTTTGGCGGATGAAGGCCATGGGTGCGCTGAGCGGCTAGAGGGGGCTTGACTCTAAATCATCATCCAAAGCCCGAGTCAGGTTGGGGATTGTCTTCCCCAAAATCCCCGGACGCGGAGAGCAGTCACACGACGTTAAGGAGGCGCTTCATTCTGCTGAAGGATGGTTTTCTTGCCGTGTAAGCTGAGAAGGTGGACGGTTTATACCTTTGGACGTTTTAGAAAGCTGCGTTCATGGAATGATGAAAATAAATGAAGTGGTAAGCTGACATCTCTCTGGAAGTGTCAGGCCTGTGAGATTCCTTTAATAAATGCCAGAGGAGGAGAGGTGTCGCCGGGCTCCCACGGGACACTTGCGTTCACAGATTCCAGAGAAGCTTTTCCAAGCAAATTCTGGGTTCTGCACGGGCAGTGGGCTGACCGCTTCTCTTGACCCCTGCGCTGCCTCGGCTCCTCTTAGCTGGCCCTCCTCCAAGTCACCCTGGCCCTGGTGCCCCATCTCTTCCCTTTAAGTGCCTCTGACACCCGTCACTCTCCTAATCGAGCGGTTCAATCTCCCTTCCCTTCCATGCCACCCAGTTACGGTCCGACTTTCATCCGTTTCTAGAAAGCCCACATAGTACAAATATGTAACCCCCACCCCCCACAAAGAGAAAAGAAAACACCAAAATTCCCCCAAACAGGCCATTGATGCCAGGCCTTGCCACAGATGGAAATGAGCCACCTCGAGTGCTTTCTGTTACTGCATCCAGGCAGCTTTGATCTCTGAAGGGAGAGGGGCAGGTCAGTGATAGCGGGGCCAACACTCCCTCCGCCAGGTCTGGGCTCCAGTGGCTTCTGCAGCAGAGCCCCTGCACCCTTGCTCACGGTGCCCACCTGTGGTTCCCTCCAATGTAGTGCCAGGAGCCCCCAGCAACTCTACTTGTTGACTCTCCTCCAAACTGAACAACACCCTGACGCACCCCAGCCCCACTGGACCAGCTCCCCGCCTCCGAGGGCTGGGCCCTGTGTGTATACTCTTTCGTCCCAGTTGGGGCCAACTTTTGGGGTGAGTACCAACTTATTTTCAGCCCCTGTGTACCTTACCATCGATGTCTCCCAAGGCTTAGCTATGGCTAATTTGAGCTGCCCATCACCAGCCTGGGGCCCAAGGGCAAGGTCTGGGCAGGTGCCCAAAGACATGTCTGGATCAGAGAGACAAAGGCCAGAGAATTTCCAGAGGCAGGACATCAGAAAGCCATCGTGTCCACCTCCCCAGCTTCCAGATAAGAAAAGCAAAGCACAGGTCCGTCAAGAGATGTTTCCGAAAGCCACTCAGAGAATTAATTAGCCAGAGAGCTGAACCAGAGCCCATGCCTCCTGGTTCATCATCTGTCCAAGAAGAGGCGACAGCGTCCAGAAAAAGTCCCTGAAGGATCCCCCCAAGCATGCCCTCCGGTGCTGGAGCATAGTGACCCCACCCCCACCCCCATCTGGGGCTCCGTTTCCTTATCTTGAAAAGGGTGGCGGTAGGGACAGATGGTCTGGCAGCTCCCTCCCATAGCCTGTGAGGGCTCTGAGATCCTCTCTTCTGCAGCCAGCATCTGCTCCCCACAGCAGTGACCTGACTAGGTCCAGGTGGCCCTGCGGAAATTGGGGGTCCCTGCTGGAGCAGCACCCACCCCGAGAGAGTGTGCATGTCCCGGGCTGCCCCACAGCATGAGCCTCGACAATCTGCCCCCCGGTGTGTGCCTCATTCATTGCTGTCTCTCCCCCACCATGTGCCTTTCTCTCCATCCTTGCCCACGGGCCCCCTCGGGCGGGCTTGAGGGGTTCCTCACCACAACCGTGGCTGACTCCTCCAGGTCCCCGACGATCCAGTTGACCTTCTGCAGCTCCTGGCCCTGCACCTGGCACTGCAGCACCACGCTGTCCCCCACTTCCACCGATGTGTTGGGCTTCTGGACCTTCAGCTTGGGCACGCCTGGACAACCAAGATGCCCGAGGGCTGCCAGAGCTGAAGTAGCTTCCCTCAACCTGCTCAGTGACCCTGAGTCCCAGCAATGCCATCCTCCCCTCACCCCCCCCACCCTCCTGCACCCATAACCTTCAACTCCCTTCTTTGCCACTGCGATCTAGTAGATGTCAACTGAGGGTGACCCTCTAGAGTGGAGTAGGAGCCCTGGTGGTGTCCTGGTTACATGGGCTGCTGACTGCGAAGTCCACCATGCAAACTCACCTGCTGCTCAGAGAGATAAAGAGGAGGCTCCTACTCCCCTAGAGAGCTGCAGTCTCTGAAGCCCTCCCCCGCCACCCCCATCCCCCGTCCCCAGTAGTTCTACCCTATCCTAAAGAATGGCATGAGTCAGTGCATGTATAGGACAGAGTAGAATTCCCTGGGGGGTGGTGGTGGTGTCCTTAACCACTGCCCCACCAGGCTTCCTGTTAGTTCCTCCAGCCCTGACCAGTTCCCCAGACTCCCCCGGAAGTTCTCCCTGCCCAAACCCTACTCAATGCCCACCCTCTCCCTAGGCTGGCACCCTTTGCCAGCCCCCCAGCACCTACCACAGCTGATGTTGGCTAGGAGGGCCAGGGGCTCCTGCTGCCCACACTGCAGCTTCTGCTCAGCAACTCTGCCCCGCCCCTCAGCCTCCCAGTGCTGGAGCCAGAGCAGGCCACAGGAGCAGTTCAGCGGGTTCCCAGACAGGACCCTGGGGGAGGAGGGTGCACATATACCAAGAGAGTCAGGGAAGAGCCTGGGGAGACCCAGGGAATAAAGTGACAATGGTAAGGGGAGGTGCCTTTAGACCACAGCGAGGGGTGTCCAGAGGTGAAGGAGTGAGACAGGGAGTGGAGACCTCTCTCCTGGACCCCGGTCACCAGGGGACACAAAAAGAGAAAGACTGCAAGGGGATAGTGCTTGGCCGTAAGGAGGAGCCATGTCCTGGTCCACACTGCAACGTAGACCCCTTGACAGCAAGACAGACAATGTCACTCCGATGTCAAGTGAAATAAGGGTGAGTGGTGTGTTGTCCACACATGGAATAGGGGAAGTGTATAGGGACCAGATGGAATAGGGAAATGCATAGGGACCAGGTGGAGTAGAAAAATGCATAGGGACCGGGTGGAATAGGGGAATGTATGGGGACCAGATGGAATAGGGGAATGTATAGGGACCAGATGGAATAGGGGAATGCATGGGGACCAGATGGAATAGGGGAATGCATGGGGACCAGATGGAATAGGGGAATGCATGGGGACCAGATGGAATAGGGGAATGCATAGGGACCAGATGGAATAGGGAAATGCATAGGGACCAGGTGGAATAGAAAAATGCATAGGGATCAGGTGGAATAAAGGAATGTATAGGGACCAG